CTGTATATTTATATAACAATGAACGAGATATGCTATTAATGCAAAATAATAATTTTATATCAATGTGTTTATTAGTGTGTATGTATGTATGTGTGCACACATATCATAGAGATAATTATGTGTATCATTGAAGGGATGGGAGGGTATGTTTGAATATATAATAAACTGAAATAATATTTAAATATAATCAATGGATCTCTTGAATTGCAAACTAACTTACAGTCCAAACCCAGTACACACACACACAGACAGTATTGGTATCTATTATAATGCATTATACAGTATACTATATATAATTTATATATAGACACACATTATATATTACATTTGAGATTAACTTTTTTTTGGGAAAATTAATGCAAAACACCTATAATTTGACACCTCATTCACTGGTGTTTTGCATATTATTTTTGTTTTAAATGCATTGCATTTTCATAAACTTGTATATTATATATACATTAAACACATTTAAGATACCAATGCATTGACTTATGTTTTTTTTGTTACTATATTTACACGCAATATAAACATCACACACACACACACACACACACACACACACACACATCAACTTTTGTTTAGTTATTATTATTATTATTAAATTTAATTTTGTTATAATAATAATTTTTATTAAAAAGTAATAATAATAACCGGTTTTCTATTGTTTTACTTTCTCTCAATTAATTTCATGCATTGAAAAACTGGATTTTTTTTTGTAAATAATAATAATAGTAATCATAATAATAAAGATGTATTTAATTAGTTTTTCAAAATTACAAAAAAAAACAATTTTCAATTTAACAAATATTTAATATTGTTTTGATTATTACTATTTTAAACGTTATGTAATTTAGATTTTTTTTAAATAACAAAAAAAAACAATTTAGTTGTTGATCTAAAAATAAATTGTTATATTATTTTTATAATTTAACATATGTTTAGAGTCAATCAATTTTTTTCATATGTATTTTCATGTTTATATATATAGCTAATATATAGCTAATAAAAAACTATTTAATTTTTATATACAATTTAATATCTACAACAAAAAAAAAGATATAACAAAATTATTAGTGCATTTGTGTATAACAATTGTATAAACCATTTTTTTTATTGTTGCGCGAAAAATAGTTATAATGATAATACAGTAATAATAAAATGATGTTTTATTATATAATATTAGTGTATTTTTAGTATATATATATAAAAATATAATATGATTTTTAGTCTACCATAAAATTATTAGCAACATATACACTGTATTTTAGTTACAGTAGTCGCACACATATATGATATACAAACACAAATAGACAGACAATGAGAAATAGATATAATATTATAAGAAAATAAACTCATATAATACTGTATAAAAAAAAAGTAAACGAGTTTTTAATCTAAGCTAAATAGACGTCGATATAAACTTATGTGCGCTTTGCTTGAGTTAAACCCAGTTAATGGAGTCTATGGATCGTTTACGGACTAATTTAATACTCTCTCTCTCTCTCTCTTTCTCTCTTGAATGGCATCATTAGGTTTTTACTCTCTCTCTCTCTCTCTCTTTCTCTCTCACTATGTGTTTATAATGTCTATAAAGACAGTAGAGATGCATCGGAAGGAAGAGGTAGATAGCATTTTAGTCTCTCTCTCTCTCTCTCTCACACACACACACACTCACTCTCTTAGTGTCTCTCTTTCAGTATTTTTCAATGCATATAAAGTATATAAATATATAAAAACTATACATTTGATTGGATTGTGGCTTTGAATCATTGTAGGAGAAAATCGGATTTTCTTATGAGAGCACACATTGGGATTGTTATGCATCTCATCATTTTTTTTGTTGAGGCAATATATACGGTATATATATATATATATATATATATAAGTAAAAGATGCATAAAATATATTTACATACACACCATATACTGTATACATATATATATAATATTATATTATATACACAATTCATACATTCAGCCTCTGATTCTCAATTCAATAGTCTATAAGACGAAGGGATTTATTTAAACTTTGCTTATATTTTCTTGTGCTCTCTCTCTTTCTCTCTTTCTCTCTCACACATAGTTTTATGCATGACTTGGCATTAAAAACAAGGTTTTTTCCACTGCATATTCACACAAGCATTTTGTGTGTGATATATATAAAAGTTTATTATTAAATATTTATGCGATGCCTTTGCCTTATATTTTATGAATGCATAACCACCACTACTATACAGTTTTATAAGCATATAATGTGCTTATGGTTTAGACTTTTATATATAAAATTTATATATTTAATAATATATAATATTTATATATATATATATATATATATATAAAGCATATATTATTATTGTCTGTTAGTGTGTATGTGTGTTAAGTTTGTTTGCTTTTTATTAAATATAGCAAAGAATATGAGTTAAATTTATTTAATATTTTGTCGGTTTATTTCATTTCCGTTTTGTTGAAAACATTTTTCAATATATATTTTTTTTTGTTGCCTTCGGGCTATTGACTTGACTTGTGATCACTTTTTTTTACTCCTCATCTTTACATTGAATTTTGTCCCATTATTTTGCTTATTATTATTATTTGTATTATTATTAACTGTGATTTTGTATGTGTATATATATTTTTTAGGAAATAGCGTAGTTATTACAGTATATATATATAATTTATAAATATATATATTTTTAGTATATATAGTATATAATAGAGAAAATTTACACTTTAAATGTCAAACCATTGACTATATATGTTTCATATATTTAATAAGTTATTACTGTATAAATATCAGATGTACTGTATATACTGTTATAAATATGATATAATGTATTTGATATTTAATTCAATTAAGAGCTCAACTTTTACGTTATAAACAGTATATATATATAAATGCTTACATATTGTATAATACTGTATAAAAAGCTATACCTATCTCTCTCTCTCTCTCTCTCTCTTTCCTCTAACACTTGATGATGGCTTAAGGCATAGACAGCAGCAACAAAAAAAATACATTTTCAATATATTTTTTATATTGAATTTATATATATTTTACTATTTTTTATGTTACTTTGGTTATCACAACCAACTCTCCCTCTCGCCAATGACTCTGGACTCATGCGATAACTACATCAACAATGCATTGTGTGTGTGTGTGTGTGTGTGTGTGTGTGTGTGTGTGTGTGTGTGTATTGTATTTATATATTGATAACTAATATATATCAATATTCTGTGTATATATATAGCACATACATAAGGGTATATAATATTTAGGAATATACAGCACATGTAGATACAGTGTATATTAGGTGTATTACTTGGAGTAAGGTTTGACCAAAAAATATTGCATGTCTTATAAATAGATGGATTCATTTAGGATTCACTTTGCTCTCTCTCTCTCTCTCTCTCTCTCTCATCTTAGTTGGCATTTTTCTTCACATATATAGTAGATATATATATATATATAATATTTCTTTGCCATCCAAAACATTGGTAATGTCTCTCTAGTGATTACCCGAGGAAATGACTTTCTATCCCTACCCCCTTATTCTACTACTATTCTCGTTGTTGTCGACCCCCACACACCAACAACAAAAAAAGTAAAGCCCGACCAGAGCTCTCTCTCTCTCTCTCTCTCTCTCTCTCTCTCTCTCTCTCTCTTTCTCTCTCAGGTTTGTTCACTAAGTTTTGTGTCCCCCGAGTAATACATTACTTTCCCGTATTTATCTATCCGTACAAGTATTGCACTAAAACATAAGGCCAATAGGTTTTCCATATATACAGTATATAAAAATATATACCAGTCCTCCTATTTTAATATATCTTTCAACTTTAACTATAAACTATTTGGCATTTTTTTTGTTTATTTTTCATGAAACATAAGTTGTAGGATTGACCCCAAAAAAACTAAAGTGTCGGATATATATATGTGCAATGTTTCCAACACTAGACATTGATATATATATATATATTAGTATATATGTATACTGTTTTTGGCAATTTTAAAACATTTTTTCATTTACTTAATAACATATATAAAACAGATACAAAAAAAATACAAAAAGTAATGCACAGTATAGTGATATTGCAATTGATTTGCATATATATATATATAGTATAATAATTTTAGACAATTAATTTATGCAAATTATTATTATATTAGATAATAATAATAATAAATTTTAATATATTAATTAAATTTTAATAATTAAATAATAATTGTTATAAAATTTTTACACAAGTTTGTCAAATGATTGCAAGACATTTACATTGAAATTATATTAAAGTAATAATTTTTTTTTGTATCTATAAATTTTTTAAGTATCTTTTTATATATATCTATATATTACTAATCAAAAAAAATTGGTAGAAAAAAATTGAAATTTATTTATATATAATATTATACTTTATATATGTATAATAAAAATGTTTGTTCACTACTTACTAAATTTAGTAGTAGTTTTGATTTATTAAACCTTTTAAAACTCAATATATATATATACTGTATATCTATTTATTTATTTTTTTTGCATAAACTATTTTTGCATAAATAGATTGCATACATTTAAACATCAATAATTTATATATAAAAAAATATATATACAGGAAAAAAACATTACATTTTATATACTGTATATTTGTTTGCATATATATATATATATATAGAATAATAAATAATTTAAAATATTTATATATATATATATAAAACTAAATAAATACTACAAAAATCAAATTCTTTATACTATACTATTAATAATACACTTAAAAATAAATAACTAAATAAATAAATAGACAACAAATTTATTTTGAAAAGAAAACATTTTTAAATAATAAATTGAAACCAATATTGATAACACTTTATATTTTAATTGCACTTCAAATACAAATTAGTGTTTTTTAAAAATTATTTTCTTAATTAATATATAAATCTAAATAATAATAATTTGATAATTAATATTAATTTTATTATTATTTTTTTAAATTATTTATCTGTAATAGTATTGAGCTTAAGAAACACTCAGGAAGAGGAACCGCCGGATCCACAACTGATGCGTTTAGACAACATGTTGATCGCCGAAGGAGTGGCCGGACCCGAAAAAGGTGGCGGCAATTCGGCCGCTGCTACGGCAGCCGCTGCCGCCGCCGCTGGCCAGTCGGGCGGCGAAAATGCTATCGAGCACTCGGACTATAGGGCCAAACTCGCACAAATCAGAACCATTTATCACCAGGAGCTTGAAAAATATGAACAGGTATGTCATGTCATATATTTTATATACCTGTACATAGCCTATACATGTGTGTATGTCTCACATACATACACACACATATGTATATCATTGTCGACTATAATTTAATTTATAGCATATATTATATTTTTTTTATTTTATTTTTCTATATAAATATTTAGTAATTGATTTACCAGTTGTTGTGTTGTTTTCAGTGATGATGAATAGGGTATATAAAATAATTGTGTTTTTTTTGTGTTGAAAAATGTTTGACACATTTTATATTGTGTGTGTTTATTGAACATATTTTTTTGTTTGTATATATATATAGTTTAATAGGTCTATTAAAAATGATTATAATTAATTAGTTATTACCAATTTTTACGGTTTCAATGTTATGTATGTATTATAGTTTAGAGAAATTTTTTTCTAAAGTGTAATTAATTAGTATTTACACACAAATTATTATTATTATAAAACCTCAAGTGTTTTTGCGATAATACTGTATGTGTTGTTTTTTTTGTTGGTAAATACATTTGGATATAATCTATAATACAGTAGTACAGTGTACAGTATATACTAGTATTTGGAAATAAATTTATTTATCAAACAAAAAACAACAAAATTGAGGAATTATTTTGAAATGTAAAGTTTAGGCAATTTTTTTTCTACCGATAATTTTTCGTAGAAATGCATGTGTTTTCAAATGAAAAACATTTTTCAGCAGTTTATCTCTCTCTCTTTCTCTCTCTCTCTTTCTTTCTCTCACTCACTCACCCACTCTCTCTCTTTCTCTCTCTCTTTCTCTCTCTCTCTTTCTTAACACACACAACTAAACGGATATGTTGTTTGCGATGCAATTTTTGACGTTTAAAACTAATCGTAATCTTGGGTTTGTATCACATCTGGAATCCTTATGAATGTATGAAATGCTGCTATTTTTGGCCAAAAATAAAATAAAATATTTGACTCAAATTTTTTTTTATATTTATATATAAAATTTTCTACAACTAATAACAGGTGCAAAAGTAATCCCAATATATACACACACATACAGTACATACTATGCATGAATATACTGTATATATATATATATTATTTTATATATTTATCTATATAGTAATACACCACAAATTTTTTGTATGTCATAAAATAAGTGCAACAAAAAAATTATAGTTTATTATATGTAGTTATAGATAAATAATTATCTTTTTTTAGTTTATATTATTATCAATTAATAATTATAATTATTATTATTATGTTTTTTAATTGGCATATAAATAAATATATTTAGCATGAAATGAGTGACATTTTTATTTATAATAAAAAAAATCCATTGATTTGCAGTACTATAAATAATAGTAGAAATAATAATAATAATATAAAAAACAACTTTTGCTTTATATATATTTAACTATCACTTTGTATACAAACGACAGTACAGTGTATTTATAGGTTAACATAAATCTTCTTTAATTGCATAGGATTTTTGTGGAGATAAAAATTTTTTAACTATTGTTTTTAAATTATATAATGTATAGTCAAATGAAAATTAAATACAACAACAATAATAATACTGTAATAATAGGAAAAAACTTTTTTATCCGACTTTAGAAACTAAAAAAATATATATATATAATATATAAAAGTTTTTCAATTATTTATTTAGTTAATGAACACACAAATAGCTAGAAAACAATGAACAGTGATTATACTGTAGTTAAAACAAAAAGCAAATAAAAATATTAATGTTTTTCAATATATATATAGAAACAGTATTTATATGTATTGTTTGTATTAATTTATTAATAGGGATTTAAATATTTTTCTTTGTACTGTATATACCATATAATGCAGTAAATAGTGTTTAATATTATATTATAGAAAAATATTTATCCATTTGTAATGTTAAGTCTGTTATATTTTTGTGGTTTGTTTTGTTATATACTTTATATGTCTGTATTTTTATGCCAGTTATTCAATACATACATTCACTCACTCACTCACTCACTCACTCACCCATTCATTCATTCACTCACTTACTGGTGTTTAAGTCACATAATAATAATAATAATAAGCAAATGTATTGAATATTTTTATCTAAATGATAAACTCATCCCTAATCTATGGATGTATTTTTTGTTTGTTGAACACAACATGCAATGGCATATAACACACACATACATACACACATAGACACACCAATGTGACAATATGTCAAACAAATTGATATCCCAGTGCCTATACTTTAAGCTGGATTTTAGTTATTTACTAAAATGTTTAGCATCTCTCTCTCTTTCTYTCTCTCTCTCTCTCTCTCTCTCTCTCTCTCTCTCTCTCTCTCTCTTAGTTGTTATATTATGGTTGCCTTACAGTTTTAGTCAGCTTAGGTATTATTATTATTAAATTATTGTTGGATGTATTTGGTTATATACATTTGCATTACTATATACTATATATAGTATTTATTGATACATGAATTTAAACATCTATTGAATATTATGCAATATTAATAGCATAACTATAAAGTATATATATATATATATATCTATTTTGATAAATGCATAAAAAAAATAATACACTGCATTTACTGTAGCAATGGCTTATTGCTAATACATTGAGTATCAAATATATATATATATATATATATAAATTTGTGTGTAGTTTTTATCTCTCATACATATTTATATGAAAAAAATAGTTATCTTAACTATTAATACCATTTGGTATTTAAATTGTGACAAATAAGTGACAGTTTAATGAGTAATTGAACTAATATTTTTTTGTATATACTTTATATGTTAACAACAAATATTTTAAAGATATGAAGAGATAAAATCCTTTAATAGTTTAGTTTAAATAATAATAATAATATGATTTTTATCAATAATTAATGCATCTATAATTTGTAAATATTTTTTTGTAAAGTCAAATCTCAATAATTGATAGACAGATACATGATTTAAATTTATTGATTATGTAATTTGATATCAGTTTTTTGATGATATTGTTTAGATATATAGAGAAATTTGTTTTCTCTCTCTCTCTCTCTCTCTCTCTCTCTATTTGTTTCTCACGATTAAAATATATAATACAAAAAATATATGAATGAATGAGATACTTGTTTTTTTTTTAAAAAATAGTCTATATTTTTGTTAACATATATTGCATAAGTAGTTATAGGAGAGAGAGAGAGAGAGAGAGAGAGAGAGAGAGAAAGAGATAAATAGTTTTGACTTTAAAAGCGATGTCTAAATAATGAGATACTGTATGAATAGTGTGTGTGTGTGTGTGTGTGTGTGTGTGTGTGTGTGTGTGTAAGTGCCAGTAGTTGTCACAATTGATACCCGAGTGTTTTGATATAACCAGTGATGCCATGCCATGTCATTGTCATTTATAAATGATACATACCAGGCCACCCATATACCAGTGATTATATTTACAGTAGTAGTAGTAGTACGGTATATATATTGTATATACATGTTGTTGTATATATATATATATATATATATATATATATATATATATATATATATATATAGACTTTCAGACACTTGTTTTATAGTCATAGATAAATTGTTTATCAAAAAATATATATATTTATATATACAGTACGGTATAAATATAATATATATATGTATTTAACTTGAATTTTTCTATCTCTGATGAATATTCCTGTAATAATATTTTTATATAAATATTTTACACCAATTTTCTAAATAATTTATTACACTATATATATATATATCTGCATACAGTAAACTCTATACACTATACACTATACTAACTAAACTAACTGTCCATTTGATACATGATGTACAAAATATTGTGTACATACATACATACAGTACAAGTGCTGCATATTTTGTTTTGAACATTTATGATATCATATTTAACATATATATAGAAAACTGCTTTATATTTTATATTAATATTATAGTACAGTACAGTATATGAGGGGTTAAATATGTATGATGTTTACACATTTTGACTTTTATCATCATAATTAATAAATTTTAATTTAATTTATAATAATTTATATATGTATATTGTTTGTGTACATGTATGTTGTTAATTACAATTTAAATACAATATACCAGTGTACATACCAAACTACTTGTAAATTATAATTATAATTATAGGCTATACTTAAAAAATAAAATTTTTAATTAGTACAACTTGTTTATATATATATATATATATATATATATATATATATGTATATTGTATATAACAAATATTTGCACACATTTGTTAATTTGCTATATGTATGTATGTATGTACTATATACTGTATGTGTGTGTGTTTATCATTAGGATTTTATAAAAATTTCTATATATATATATAATATTTAGTTTTGTTTTAGCAAAATTAAATTATCTAATTTATTTAGCAACTGATTTTGTTTTATTTGGCTGAAAAATTTTTAGACTACAATACAATAAGAAAAATATTTTTGTGTATAATTTATGTATTATATTATATCATCTTTTTGGATGAATACAAAATTTAATATAATTTTTTTTTTGGTTTGTGATTTAGTTATATATATATATACAGTATTCTCATATGATTTGTTGTATATATATATATATTGTTTTGGGTCCGGCCTTTAAAAATGATTTGAAAAGTTTTTATTGATTAAACTTTAACTCAATCTGTACATACAGTATCTCAGTAGTAGTATTAGTATTAGTGGAAACTATGTTAGAGATAGAGGAATAGGATAATAATATTTTAGTCTAAATTAACTTTTAATATATTATATTATATATCATATGATTCACATACACTCAGTATAATCCTATTCACTGAGAAAGTATATCTTTATATTTTAGTTATATAAGACATTAGAGTTGATTAGAAATTTTCTAACTTTCTGTGTGTGTGTGTGTGAGTGTCCGACAATGACTTATATATATGACGGTATGATTGTTGGTGTGTTGAACGACACAAACAATTGATAATATGATTGGATGATTGGGTCATCACATTTAGATATATATAGATGAATTGATTTTGAA